AAAAAAAAAAAAAAAAAAAAAAACAGGATCCTGATAGCTGTTCCCGATATAAAAAGCAAAGAAGTGGTTGGCCCTGACATCCTGTGACATAGAAAAAGTGCACTCTGTGTGGTTTTAAAGTTATGTTGGTAGTTCGATTAATCCATAAAAGAAAATATATTTTTTAGAGTTGTTATATAATCATCATATTAAAACTGCAAACATTTATAGAAGAGGTACCAGCAGTCTCAAGGTTTTGCCTTTTCCCAATGTGACAAGCTGCATAATGAATTAGTATTTTAAATTCCACACAATAAACGACCCCCAGCTAGAGTCTATCAAATGCTGCCCTACACAACCATGCTAAGCAGAGAGCTCTTCAGCCTCCAGAATTCACCTTTGCTCTACACAATTCCAAAGTCATTCCAGTAACACATCTGTCATTCCCGTAGGAGACACTCTCAATGTAAAAAACAGACGCAAAGGCCAAGGCAGGCTTCTTTTAAGACTTCATTATGCCAGTCACAAAACTAACTCAAAGGGGATCAAGGACCTAAACACAATAGCTAGAACTATAAAGCTCTTAGGAGGAAATACAGGTGTATAAATCCTCATGACCTTGGATTAGGCAACAGTCTCTTAAATATGACATCAAAAGTATAAGCAACAAGAGAAAAAACCAGATAAAACGAATTTCATCAAAATGAAAAATTTTCCTAAAACAAGGGATACTATCAAGAAAGTGAAAAGGCAACTCACAGAATGGGAGAAAATACTTGCAAATATGATTTGGAAATAATATATCTGATATGGGTCTAGTATCTAGAACATATAAAAAGCTCTTACAACTCAACAAGAAAAAGACAAATAACACAATGAAAAAATAAGCAAAGGATTTGAATAGATGGATAATAAGAAGTGATATCAAGGATACAGAGAAACCGGAACCCTTATGCATTGCTGGTGGGAATATAAAATGGTGTAGCCACTGTGGAAAACAGTTTAGCAGTCCCTCAAAAAGTTAAACATAGAGTTACCATGTGACTCAGAAATTCCAATCCTAGGTATACCCAAGAGAACTGAAAATAGGTGTTGACACAGAATGTATATGTGACTATTCACAGCAGCACTATTCACAATCGCCAAAAGGTGGAAACAACTCAAATGTCCATCAACAGACAAACGGATAAACAAAATGTGATGTATCCATACAGTGGAATATTATTCAGCCATGAAAAGCAATGAAGTACTGATACACACGACAACATGGATGAACCCTGAAAACATTATGCTGAGTGAAACAAGGCAGACACAAAAGGCTCTATATAATTCCGTGTATATGAAATGTCCAGAACAGGCAAAACACTGAATTTTATATTTTAAAATGGTTTAAATAGTGAATTTACGTTATGTGAATTTTATCCCAATTTTAAAATGGTAAAAAAAAAAAAAAAAAAGACTTTTAATACTCTACTTACGCAGAAAGTTGAGTAAAAATGGAAAAGGTCTAAGTTCCCCAACTTTCAGGGCACTAAGATTTAGAAAAGGTAATGGAGAGAAATCCTTCTGAGTCCAGAGAAGAAGAGGATGGTTACCTCTCAGTGGTATCTCACCCCTTGGGTGATGACCAGACAGACTTGGGATGTGGTGGCAGAGCAGGCTGCTGCTCAGGTGTCCGGCTGTGGAGAAGCACTACAGACAGTCATACTATAAAGGCTCCATGTAACTTGATTCCCTTAAACTAATCCCTCTTCCTAAGGGCAGCAAAGCAACAGGACAAGGTGCCATTGTATGATGTTATGAGCTATGACAAGACCAGAAATGGACCTGGAGCCTCTGGTGCTGTCAAGATACCTGGGGAGACTTACAGACAAGCCCTGTCCCCACTCTTATCCAACCTACTCTACAGGGACGCATAATGTGGCCTGAATGGTTAGGGGATGGAGTTTGCATGTGTAGTTAGGTGAGGTTACTTCTACGTCAACTGTATATGCACTTCTCTAGGCCTCCTCCTCTCTCTCTGAATTCAAGAATAGTAAAATAAATGATGTCTTTGCAAGAATAGGAGAAAAATGTTTTTGTCCTAGACCTGCTTGTATACTCAAGTTTTTAATGGTTTTCAACTGTATTAAAAATAATTATCAGTGAATTTGGAAATAACACGAAATTGATATATACACCAATTTAGAATTTCTTAATAATGTGTGACTAATAACTTAGAGTGATGCTGTCCAAAAGACTTTTTTGTCACGGCTTACAGCACTGGACTCAGATCACCCCCTTACTTTATAATCAGTAACTCAGCACTTCTGTCTACACGAGATTTGGTCCAGATGTCACTGAGGACCTCCCAACATTCTGGTGGCAGATGATGCCATCTTCATAACCTGACCTGTAATACTAGTCCTTTCTCTTAGTGACTCACTGGACCCACAGGATATCTGCCTCTGAAAATAAAGTTGTGTTGAAAATGATACTTTCACATATGTGTGATTTGGGGCAGTGTAAATTAGTTCAACTTTTTGGTAAAGAAGTTTGGCAACCGGTGCCAGCCCAGTGGCACAAGCAGTTAAGTGCATGTGCTCCGCTGTGGCGGCCACGGGTTGGCCAGATCCCGGACGCGCACGGACGCACTGCTTGCTGAGTCATGCTGTGGCGGCGTCCCCATATAAAGTAGAGGAAGATGGGCATGGATGTTAACTCAGGGCCAATCTTCCTCAGCAAAAAAAAAAAAGGTGTGGGGGAGGATTGGTAAGAGATGTTAGCTCAGGGCTGGTCTTCCTCACCAAAAAAAAAAAAAGTTTGGCAACTGATACCACGAGCTATACGCTTTGATCTACTGATCCCATTCCTGGAAATATATTCTAAGAAATAATCCAAACTAAGGAAAAGCTCTATGATGCATAGCAAAGATGAACAGGAAAAAAAAACACAACACTTGCAAACACTTTAATTTTATAACAGAGAAATGGTTTAATATTGTCTATAAATTTGATGGAATATTAAATTTAAAGACAGCATAACAAGGTGAAATAATGAAATGATAATCTTAAAATTTAAAAAAAAATGCGAAATATATATAATTCCAAGTTAGCAAAGTTATGTGCATATACGGACAAATCTAAAGGAATATGGAAAAACAAAAAAAGTTGACTTAGCGCGTGGAATTCGGAGTGGTTATTCTTTCATTTCTTCCTTCTCATTGTTTACTACTACAATATTGTTTGTACAATAAAGTAAAAGAAAACAAAGGCTCAATCTAGTGTTCTTACAATGACATGTATTTCTGGGTCATTCAATTTGAAGAGCAAAACATGGGCATTTGTGCCTTTTTTCACTCTGAACCTGGTGGTCCTGCATTCTTGACGGGGGCAATTATAAGCCTAACATTTCCAGGTTGAGAGTGAATTTGGTGTTTAGTCATAAAAACAGGGCCCACCCTGCCCCCTGTTTCTGCTGTACCTTCGCTACTTTCCACATTCTCAAGCACCCCCTGAAGAGGCAGAAAAGAGAAACAACTCCAGGGGCCTAATCGAGGGAAAGAGAATAGAAGACTACAAACAAGCAAAGAAAAATCAAAAGAAGAAAGAATCTGAAAAACAGAAAATGGCTGAAAACAAGAGAAGAAAATGAACATTTTGCAAAAAAATATTTTCCATTTCCTACTCTGAAGGGAAACGTCCTTCAACTGGGGACTCAATCAAGCACGCGGCTGGATGTCACCATGCACCCGGCTCGGGCTGGTGGCAGGGGCCCATGGCCCAGCCAAGGGAGAGGCCTACACCTGTTGCTAGGCAGGACTGAGGGGTAGGTTTACACCAGGGGGTGCACACAGCAAGAGAGGGATGGACACTGAGTCCATGAGCAAGTGTGAGGACAGGCACAGAGCGACCCTGACAGAGGATTTGGTCAGGAAAGCTGAATGTTAAAGGAAACAGTCTAACGACTTGAAACCCTTCCATGTGAGAAGGGAAGAGGAGGGGAAATCTAAATGTCTGGAGGACAGACACTGTGTCTGAGTCCTCTTTCATTTCTTTGTGGGACCTTAGAGTTCCCTGCAAATGGTAAGACTTCAGTAAATACTGCAGGACTGAGTCAAGGCAAACGGCATGTCACACAGCTTCATGAGGGCAACACGTTGTTCTGCCAGGTACCGGAAGGTCTGTAACGTCCCCATAGGAAAGTTGGTTCTCCTGTGAACTGTGGAACAGCGTCTATTAAAATGATGCCATGTAGTAACACCAGTTCACATGTGTACAGCAGGCAGCATGGACTGGTGAAAAGAAGACAGGGTTTGGGATCAGAAGATCCAGGTTTCCATTGGGCTCTGCTATAAATTAAGCTGTAAGCCTGGGCAGCCACAGGCCGAGCATCTGGTTCTTTATCAATAACACAGTGATGTTTTATGCATCACGTCAGCTTTGACTAGTCCGAGGGTTATTAGTGAAAGCAAATGTGAAGCTATGTGGGAAAGTACGTTGTAAATTACAAAGCATTCTACAATTAATATTATAAAGGTTTACATTTATATTGCAGTTTCCACTTCAAAAGCACTTTCACATACAGCTTCACTTGTCATCTCTATCACAAGGAAAGGAGAATGTCATTATCCTACATCTGTCTTTCAGAACACTGAGAATTAGAGATGCAGATTGTTAACTGGGGAGGGACGGGACCAAAATCGTTTTCAGATAGCCAGAGCCTCTGGTTTCTCAGGATATCATAGTATCCTCAATTTACACCAACAGGATAAAAGCCTTTTAAAAACTTGAGGTGTTTCTAATAAACACGATAGTCTGTGCTTCTTTGAATGGAGAGGCAGGAAAACACTAGAGGGGAGGTGTGAATTACAGCCTGAGAAGAGCCTGTGTCCCGGCAGCCGCTCAGCCCATTGCCATGGTCTGGTGTGGCAGGACAGGAAAGAGCTTCAGGACAGACAACTGTGCCTTGCCGCCAGAGCTGTCTGGAGGGGACGTGGCCAAGTCAACCTGTCTGAGAGAATGCCACTGTGCAGCAACACACACAATGTGCAACGAGCTGCCAAGCCTGTGTCTTCCAGAAAGAACGACTTACTGGCAGCCTCACAATGACAACATGTCCCGGACGGGCGACATATCAGTCCTGTTGGTCTGTTCAGAGCACCCGCTAGGAAGGGTGACTTGTGCCAGAGGAAGCAAAACCAAACGACATTTAGCAGCAACCAGCCCAGAATGGAGGGTTGTGTTAAATTCCGTGTGCAAACCAGACTCCTGGCCCAGCATCAGTTAATGTTCCAACAACATCCTTGGTGTGGAAAATGCCCCCAGTGGCATGCCTTGCAAGCAAAGTACTGGCATAAATCAAAATAAAGGGAGGTCCTTTCCAACAAACTTCAAGCTCAACAATTGGCAAGGGAGTGAGAAAGAACAAGAAAAACTGACCCATAAAAAGAAGAGACATTTTAAATGACTGCTTTTCTATGCACTCACAGAATATATTGCCTCAACAACCAACTCAGATATTAAAACCTACTGCCAGAAGACACTATTTACCACAGCATAATTTAGTCGCAACTGCAACGTTCTATTACATTTTGCAGAGTTTCTGTGTTAACAGAAAAATCCCCACAGGCTGCATCTCTAACGCAATCCCTCAGAGGGTTTAGGGGACAAATTGCACGTGAAGCTCTAATGTCCAGAGCAATAAATGGCGTCCACGCCCGCCTGTCCCGAGTGTGGTGGGGGAGGAGCGCTGCCAAGTGTCACTGATCTGGCCACACACACCGACCGGGTGCTGCTTTCTCTGACACGAGAGACCCGTGAAATATTCTCCGTGCCTTCTAGTATCCCATTACGAGGGCTTTCTGCTCTTTGAGAACATCTGATTCAAAAGACCTCATTTATTAAGCCAATTAAGGGGTAATTACTAAGAAGCAGAACAGCAATAAAGCACACAACTCTCAAGTCGGGAAATCCTGGGTTCCAACTGCAGTTTTGCCGCTTGCTAACTGTTCTGGTCTGGGTGAGTTACTTAACTTCTCTACGTCTAGTTTTTTTCACATACAGAATGAGGATAATATACCTATAAAATTGGAATTACCGAGATTAAAAAAACAAAACATCTTAATTTGTACCTGACACATAATAAAAATGAAATAAATATTAGTTTCCTCTTAAGAAAAAGATTTTTGCTCACTAATTTAATAACTTCCAGAACATTCTGCTATACTCAGTCACAGTGCTAGGGCTGGGTGCTTTGAGGGGAATAAAATAAGGTCCCTCGCCTTCTGATGAGCACTCATGCACTGTGGCCAGCTGAAGCCATAAAGCAGAACAACAAAGGCGGCTGAGGAGGAGCGGTTGAGGGGAAGCTCAGATGGGAACCAACACTGGGCCAGGTCCTGACAGCCAGCGAGGGGAAACAGGGCGCCTCGGGAAGGGGCAGCACATGGTAAAGGAACGCGGTTGAGTGCATGCTGCCACGAGCCGTCACTGCATGAGCGGTGTGAACCCAGCACCAGGAAATCAGACACCGTGGCATTCCAAGGGCTGCCCGTTCCAAGGAGGGCTTCAGAAAAACTGAATTATCTGGGTTTTGGATATGATATTAGGAAGTAAAGTCAAAGACAAAGACTAGCATTTACTTAGTCACCTCGAGGCAACAGTGGTGTGTTAAATGCAGGTCTGCAATTTTGGTTCTGCAGCACAGGTGAACTATGACCTCTTGGCTCTTCCGCATTCACACACTTGGAAGTGAAAGTCAGAGGAACCCGTTTCTCTACTGGGTCATCCTCCCATGCCCTTCTCTCCGTGAGTGACTAGAGACAGCCGACCTGCACAGATTTCACAGGGAAAATTCTCTCGTGTTGCACATTACAGTAGGTGATCACGTCCGCCTGTCTTCCAGTGGCCATTCCCACTGCTTTACACCTGCTGCCTCCTCTCTCTCGACTCCACAGACTCCTTTTCTTTCTCTTTTTACTTATTTTGGCGGGGCGGGGGGCAGGGGGGAAGGGGAGCAAATGGGAATGAAAGTAATAGAGACAGTTGATCAGGGAGTATTTTCTTCCTTGATACCATGTGTAACACTCAAGACAACCCGAAGCCCTGTCTGGTACTCATCCGGTAGAGGGATGCGAGTAATCCGTGTTTCCAACGTCTTCCTGCAGGGAGTCCAGACCTCTTAAGAGCTTTGTACCAACTGTGTACCGCAGCATACCTTCCTGAACGATAGGAAATAGAGAGGCTGTATTCACAACTGATGATATGTTATCCTCAAACAAAAATGGTGAATGGCAAAAATACCTGAGTCCTTCATTTTGTAATTAATTTTAGCAAAAACTTAAAAGATTTGCACCAAACATCTACTGGTAAAGAGTTACAAATCCATGTGAAGACCAAGAGATGGCATGGGAGAGGGTACCTGAAGACATCACCAGCCAGCCTCATCCACAGGGCAGTCCTGCTCATCCCCTGGAGATGGGGGCCTCCCTGGTTATGCCAGCCCAGCAGTAGCTCAATCAGCCTCAGTCACAACCAGCTCAACCACACCTCCCCCAGCCTGGGGGAGGCAGACTCTGTGGCCCTGACTGTCAACTTCTCTAGAAGCTTCTACAGGTCTCTTAAGGATGCTGCCTAATCCCTGGGCCCAGAACCAGCTCCTGTGGCCAGCAGTGCTCTCCCATACTCTTCTGTGCATGCTGGCCCTGGCCCTCAATGCTTCTTATAGCATGGTGACTGCTCTCTGCAATCCCTACACAGCTGCCAATGTTCCCTACACCCCGAGAACTCTCTCCAGTGTCTGACTGCACCCTGGCTTCCCTTTCCTAGCGACACGACTTTTCTCACGCTCACAGTGTGGGCCCCAATACTTCAGGAGCAGTAGGTGGGGTCAATGTTCTCCTGACTTCCCACTGCCACTTCTAACACAGGTTTTCAACTTGCTTTTCTTTTTAAAAAATAATCGCCTCCTTTGAGCCCATGCCATCCATCATACTACCATCCTCTGCTCATTTTTACTATCCCCCCTTCCTCCTTCCAAGTCACTTGCATAATTCCCTGCCACTAGAGTCTGGCTCATTTACTTCCTCTCCATTCCATGTCCTGCCATCATCCTTCTCAAATTTAACACCCACATCAAGGACCCATCTGACACAATTCCTTCCTTGCCCACTTCCCAGGACTCATTCCAAAGACCCTGAAACCCATACACAAGGCCAGCCACATCCTAACATTGGAACTCTTCTAATCCCAAGATCTTGAATTTCTCTCACCTCAACTTTGTCTTCCATGCCCCTACCCCATCTCATCCTTACCTCCAATCCTTGGCTTCTTCTGGATTCCAAACCAATCGGTCCCCCTTGGCTTGTCTCTCTCAGCCCAATTCAGCCTAGAACCCCCCTCAACCACTCCAGTGACACTCTCACCAAAGTCCACAATTTCTTTACCCTCTGACCAACTGTCACCCACAGAGCAACCCAAATATCTAAGTTTTGTTTGTTTGGGTTTCTACACTTATTCTACTTGTGCTTCATAATTCCCACTGTATCATGTGACTATGCCGACTGACTTCACAATACAACTGGGGCTTCCAGATTCAAGCAGAACCTCACTGCTGCCCAGCAGTCTCCGTGAGGGACCTATCCTGACCCACCTCACTCTTCTCAAAGGCCTCCCTGTCCCTGCCCCCCACGCCATCTCAGCAGATTACCTGCCTTACCTAGGCCACCACCATGAACTTCCATGGCATCATCTTCCGTTTCAAAGCTTGCTTGCATTCTTCAAATACGCCCTGCTCTGAAGGCCTTAAACCTGTGGTTCTGACTTACCCTCCTCAGTTGCTTCCTCTCTACAAGATACCCACCTTCCAGTCTACACGTTTGCCTATTAAAAACAAGAACTCACAGGGACCGGTCCAGTGGCATAGCAGTTAAATTCGCTTGCTTCACTTCAGCGACCCAGGGTTTGCAGGTTCGGATCCCGGGCGTGGACCTACGCACCACTTGTCAAGCCATGCTGTGGCAGCATCTCATATTAAGTAGAGGAAGATGGGCACGGATGTTAGCCCTGGGCCAATCTTCCTCAGCAAAAAGAGGAGGATTGGCAACAGATGTTAGCTCAGGGCTAATCTTCCTCACAAAAAAAAAAAAAAGAAGAAAGAAAGAAAGAAAAAAGAACTCACAAAAAATACCTAACTTAAACCAAACACCCCCTTTCCTTAAATCTCACATCTTCTCCCTAATGAGAGTCCTAACTCTCTCTCCCTTTACCAGTGAGCTCCTGTTAGAGCGATACATATGCATGTGTTGCCTCTCCTTCCTCAAGTCAACCCCTGCATTCTGACCACTGACTGCTCTCACAGTTTTTCTAGAACTGTCAGAGGTGACCAATGACCTCCTGTCAACTTGAATGTCCTTTCCCAATCCTCACCCTGGAAAGCCACTGAGGGATTTAAGTGACCGGGTATGCTCTCCTATTTGAACGCCTCCCTTCCCATCTGCTCTCACTCTCTGGCTGGTTCCATCCACTACTTTGGACGTGCACCCTCCCACTGTCCTATTCTTGGCCCTCTTCTCAACTTACATGCTCTCTGTGAGTAACCTCAATCGCATCAAAACCATGGTAATGAAAAATTCCTGAATAAGCCACTGAAATAATTCCTCTTGAAGGCTTCAAGCTCTCCCCGTGAAGTGCTTTCCTCTCATCACGCACACCTGTGTAAGCCCCTCATGCCTAAAACCAAATGATGACTACAACAACAGAAAACTCACACAATCAACCTAGAACCACCCTCCCCCACGACCTGCTGTCTAGCTCCCATCCTTTCTTTCCTCTGGACTTAGCTAAGCGTCATGATAGAGTGCTTACGTCAAAGCCTCTCCTCACTCTTTATTCAGCCCTCATATCTCCTCTACCTGCAATGCCACCTCTCCATCCCAGTCCCATGTGTTTAACTCGGTTGATCTTTATTTTTGTTTTGTTAATGGGAGGAGGGCATCAGAAGGATCTGAAAAGCCTTTTTGAGTTATACACGCAAACTCAGCCACTCTTCGCTCTGATGGTGGGTGGAGCTGAGTAGAAGCCAGCTGGGAGCTCCCATGTGTCCTGAGCCCCTGTGTCCATCAGAGAGCCACTGCCATGGCCACTCCAAGCCTGGCCCACACTGGGGAGACTGCCCTGCAGGTGTGGGTTGCTCCTCGGTGCGCCCAAGCACTCTGCGCACATTTCTAGCAGCAGCCGTGTCACCCTATTGCTGCTCTATGTACATATCTTCTGAATCAGGCTTTACGTTCCTGTGGGTAGAGATCAACATATCTCACTGGCTCTGGAGACCAGACCCCAGACCTGGCAGGGCACCTGTCATCACAAAGCAGGTGTTGCCTACAGAATAAGGCCCATCTCCGAGCTTCACATTCATGGACCTCTTCATAGTCACTATCCCTTCCTTCAGAGATTTCAGGGTCTCTGCCACACTGGACTGCTTGCTATCACCCAAACATGGGTTCAGGCCAGGATCAGATCATCTGCTCAGAATGCCTTTTCCACCTTCTCGCTTCAGTGAGACCTTACTCATCGTAGGAGGTTTAGAACCAATGACACCCCCAACAGTGAAGATCTAGCCTGCCTCCAAGGCACACACAAGGAATCTGTCACTCTCTTCTCCATCTCCAGGAGCAGCACTGATAAGTGTGTAGGTCTCTCTCTTCCTGGCAGACAGGGACTTTGACTCACAAATCTTTATAATTTAATACTCATGAGGCTACCTGACTAGAACAACTTTTCTTTCACAGGGTCAATTCAATCTCAGAAGAAGCAAACATCAGGCTGTTCCAGTGAGTATGGTGACAGCACTTATCACTAAAGCGAGGTTTAAAGCCCAGCCCTGTGGTCCCTTACTGTGGCCTCTGCAGCCGGTTTAAATGGTTCTGAATCAAGTATGTGGACACCAAGGGTGCGAATGACAAGAAGTAAGAAAACTAAAGAAGAGGCTGACATCTCATGGCTTAATTACACCATTTTAAAACAGCGCTGCAGACACTACCCTACCATCTGCATGGGTTTTACGTGGTCACATGGTTCTGGTATTCAAAAGAAGATGCTATTTAAGAGAGACCATCAATTTCATCTTAGCACAAGTAAAATGAGAAAGAAAATGGTTTATGCGATACACTGCCCAGTGCAACACTAAATGATTGCTTTCTCATTCCATAAGGGTTGTGAATGTCCACTATTAAATATGCAGCTGTATGCATTAACCATTTTTGAAAGTAATACGACTTAATATTACTGATTACACATGTAGGCACGTGCATACTTAGGCACACAAATCAGATAAGAAGTCAAAGTACCATTAAAATGCCCAGAAGTTTAATAAAAAGATACAAATAGGCACATAAATAGTTAACAAGTAATTGTTTTATAAAAAGTGATGTAATTTACTTGCTCTGCAGGTATGATTTCAAACAGGGATTAAAACTAATTTGGAACACAGTGAAGATGGTATCAAAGCAGCAGAGGACAAATGGCTTTCCTCCCATTAGCCAAGATAATCAGGAGGATTGGGACAGGTAGGGATGAGGCTGGCAGGGGCGGAACACTATTTGATGAGCATCATTTCACCCAAAGTTGATTTCCTGGAATGATATTAATAACTCAGTGGCTGTAAGAGGCCCACTGTGAGCTAAACCACCTATCATCTTCATTCTCTGCTGAGCACTCCTGTTATGTTAAAAGAATATTCCGCTCACGCTTGCCACCCTTGAGTCTTCCACGCACATTACATACTGACGCATTCAAACTCTCACAAAAGACTCTTGGATTCAGTAAACTGCCTAGCAAGATCTCATCTGAGATAATGTATCTATGGTTCTCATGTTAGATAAACACTGGAGGAAAAGAGAAAACGTGAGCCAACAGTAAATTACTAGGAGATAAATAAGCCCCAACATGAACCAAAAATGAAAAGGCAGCCTGTCCTTTAAAAAAATTCCATTTAAGAAAATACTTTTTCTTAGCAAATACGCTGATTTTCAAAAGGCCCTAGGTGCCTAAAATTTGGTCAAATTGGTCAATTTTTAGGCAGTAACTCAGCAAACATTATTTCTTAGCTTTTATCATTATTGATTACATTGAGCCTTGGGACAGCACTTTGAATATGTTCAGCTGATATTTTAAAAAAATAAAAGCAGATATGATTTTAAAATACAAGTATTTTGCAAAGGATCGTCTGTCTGGCCTGTTTCATATATGTGACCTTTTTAAGATCTCAGGCATCCAGAGAAGCTGTGCACAGCCCTTCATTGGGGCACATGTCATCACTGGTGTGTGTGCCTTCTCTTCTGCTATGTTTCTCCCCCATGTCCCTAACCCTTCTCAACACTCCATAGGCACACACATCTAGTAAATGTATGTATGCCCTTTCATATTTTTATTTAAGTATATGTGTAAACTTAAGTTTAAACTGTATTTTTTGTGTTTAATTTACAAAAAAGAATCATGATATAAATCTAAACCTATTTTTTCACGCAACATTTTGCATTTAAAAACATTTATATCAACTTTAATGAGGTGCAATTTGCATACAATAAAATGGACCCATTTTAACATTATGGTTTGAAGCATCTGACAAATGTGTATCTGTGTAACCACCAGCACAATCTGCATGTAGAAAAATTCCATCACCCCAAAACGCTTCCTCGTCCTATTTCCTGTCAATCCCACCCCTATATCTGGCTCCAGCAAGCTAGATCTGCTTTCTCTCATCATAGTTCAGTCTGAGAACTTCACAAAATCATAAACTGTACTCTTTTGTTTTTAACTTCTTTCAATCAATATAATGTTTCTGAGACTCATTCATGTGTGTGTCAACAGCTCGTTCCTTTGTATTGGTAAGTAGTGATACATTATACGGGTGTACCATGATTTGGTTATCCATTCACCTGTGGACAGACATCTGGGTCATTTCCAGGTTTTGGATACCATGAATAGAGCTGCTATGGACATTCTTGTGCACATCTTTGTGTGGACGCGTTTTCATTCCTCTTAGGAGTGGAATTGGTGGGTTGTGTGCTATGTGTATATTCAATATTATTAGACTGCTAAACTGTTTTCCAAAGTGGTTGTACTATTCTGCATTTCCACTGGCGATGTATGAGTCCCAGGTACTTGACGTTCTTGCCAACACAAGTAAGCGCCTTTCATGTGTCTATCAGCCATTCATACATTTTCTTTGTAAAGCATCTATTCCAATCATTTGGCCATTTATTTAAAATTTGTATTGTCTTCTCATGATTGCGTTTTTAAAGGTCTTTATATATTCTGGATACAGATCTTTGTCAGACACATGTATTGTAAATCTTTTCAACTAGTTTGTGGCTTGTCTTTTTATTTTCTAAAAGTGTCTATCAAAGAGCAGAAGTTTTTAATTTTGATGAACTTCAATATATCAATTTTTAATGGTTTGAGCTGTTCGTGTCATGTCTAAAAAATCATGAACAATTTCTCCTATGTTTTCATCTATAAGTTTTATAGCTTTACCTTTTATATGTGTAAGATCAGAAATTAATTTTTCTGTACAATAAGTACAGTAAAGACAATAAGTACAATAAGGGTTGGGGTTTTGTTTTTTTGTTTGTTTGTTTTTCCTGAATGGACAGCCAGTTGTTCCAGCACCATTTGTTGAAAGGACAGTCCTTTCTCCATCAAATTATCTTGCTACTTTTGTCCAAAATCAATTGATCATATATGTGTGAGTCTACTTCTGCACTCTATATTCTGGTTCCATTGATCTATATGGCTATCTTTATACCAATACCACAATCTTGATTATTGTAACTTTATATTAAGTCTTAAAATAAACCAATGTGCCTCTTTTTCAAAATTGTTTTGGCTAGGCCCTTTGCATTTCTATATAAATTTTAAAATCACCTTGTTAATTTCAAAAAAAAAAAAAAAAGATGGAATTTTTCACTGGGATTTCACTGAATCTACAGATCAAGTTGGGTAGAATTAGCTTTTTAAAATATTGAGTTTTTTACTCCATAAGCACTGTATATAAGCTTCCATTTATTTCGATCTTTCATTTCTCTCTGCAATGTTTTGTAGTTTTGTGTGCACAGGTCTTGCATATATTTTGTCATGTTCATCTCCAAGTATTTCAGAACTTTGATGCCACAGCAAATCATACTTTTTAAATTTCAATTTCCAACTATTTGTTATTACTATATAGAAATGCAACTGATTTTTAGGTATTGATCATATCCTGACACCATGCTAAAATGAATTACTAGTTCCAGTGACTTTTTTGTACACTTCTCATGATTTTCTATGCAGACAATCACGTTGTCTGTGAATCAATAGTTCTACTTCTTTGCCAATCTGCATGCCCTTTTATTTTTTCTAGCTTTATTGCATTGACTAGGACTTCTAGTACAATACTGAATAGCACTGGTGAGAGTGAACATCTTCACTTTGTTTCCAGTCTTCTGGGGAAAACATTTAGTCTTTCACCATTAAATGCAATGTTAGCTATAGGTTTTTCTTTGATGCCTTTTATGAGCTTGAGAATGTTCTCTTCTATTCCTAGTTTGCTGAATTGTGTTTGTTATGAATGGGTGTCCAATTTAGACAAATCCTTTTTATGCTATCTATTGAGATGATCATATGGTTTTTCTCCTTAATTCAGCTAATAGAATGAATTACATTTATTTTCACGTTAAACAAATGCTGTACTCCTGAGATAAACCTTACTTGATCATAACATTTGATCCTTTCTATATATTGATAGGCTTCATTTGCTAATATCTTATTAAGAATTTTTATATCTGTGTTCATGAGGGATCTTGGTCTGTAGGTTCTTTTTTTGTTTTTTTTTCCTCGCAAAATGTTTGATTTTGATTTTCCGGGTAAAAAGTTAGCCTCTTAGAATGAGATAGCAAATGTTCCCCTTCCTCTATTTTCTGAAAGAGTTTGCATAAGGATTGGTATTATTTCTTTCTTAAATGTTTGAGAAATCATCAAAGATACCTGGGCCTAGAGTTTTCTCTGTCAGGCTTTTAACTAGGAATTCAATTTCTTTATGAGATATAAACTATCTAGATTTTCTTTTTCTACTTGTGTCAGATTTGGTAATTTGTGTCTTTCACAGAATCCATTCATTTCATCTAAGATGTAGAATTCATTGGCATCAAGTCCTTCATACTTGAAAGGATTCCCTGATTATCCTTTTAATGCCTGTGGGATCTGTGGTGATGCTCCCTTGTTCATTCCTGATATAGGTAATTTGTATCTTCTTTCTGTTTTTCTTGACCATTCTAGCTAGAGTTTAAAAAATTCTATTCAACTTTTCAAAAACTATCATTTGATTTCATAGGTTTTCTAGATTGTTCTGGTACATTTTCTACTTTATTTTTGCTCTTCTCTTTATTTCCTTTCTTCTACTTACTTAGCGTTTAATGTGCTTCTCTTTTTCTGGTTTTATACAGAAAGCTTAGACGACAAATTTTAGACTTTTCTAATTAAAATTTATAAAACCTATTACAATTTTTTTTTTTTTGGCGAGGAAGACCAGCCCTGAGCTAACATCTGTGGCCAATCTTCCTCTTTTTGTTTGTCTTAATAATGGCCAGGACTTCTAATATTGCAGTCGCGCCAGAGAGAATCCTTGCCTATTCCCAATTTTAAAGGGAAGGTGTCTCAAGTTTATCCACTAAGCCTGATGTTTGCTGAAGAGCTTCATGTAGCCTTTACCAAGTTAAGTAAGTCTTCATGACCTCTATTTAAACATGGTGGATTAAACATGTACAAAGATCTCCACTCCCTCCA